AGTTGAATGAACTAAGGTTAATTGAACATTACTGTGTAACATGCAGTAAACTTTCTGAAATGGGCCCGGCATGGCCAGGTGGTTAGGGCGCTCGACTCGCAATCTGAGGGTCGCGGGTTCGAATCCCCGTCACACCAAACATGCTCGTCCTTTCAGCCGTGGGGGCGTTATAGTGTGACGGTCAATCCCACTATTCTAAAAGAGTGGGTGGTGATGACTAGCTGCCTTCCCTCTAGTCTTACACTGCTAAATTAGGGACGGCTAGCGCAGATAGCCCTCGTGTAGCTTTGCGCGAAATTCAAACAAACAAACAAACAAACTTTCTGAAGTTATAGATTCCTCGGAATATTGATTTGCATACATATCATTTCAGAAATAAAATGTATCATCGAGAAAGTAGAGTCGTGCTAACGCTTAGAAAGTTAAATATTGTTTGAACTTCTTTATCATCAAATATTTATGTACGATACCTTCATTACCTTGTGCATCCGTTTCATGATTATGACTATGTGTGGTGATTAAACTTCACGGTTCGACCATGTAATGATTTCATTTTAGGCGTTTACTGGCATTGCCCTGAAAAACAATATACATTGCTGTTGTAATATTTCACATATATAAATAATCGTATAAAATTAGATTTTATGATACGATCATATAAGATTTCATTCCAGGCGTTTACTGACTTAGCCTTTTGATTGATTAGTAGTACGTTGTGGTTCTGAAAACACATAACCATAACGATGAATTGGCTTCCACGATGCACTGTGGAAAATATCAACAACGCTCTGCAGTATCAACACTAGCTTTTAAGACTTACTAAACTATTGAAAATACTTAGCAAATACTTGGTTCTTGTTATCCCGATTTTTATATGAAAAATAATACATGCATACGTGAGCATCATATGCATCGTGTGAGTGAAATACTTTTTTTAATATTGATACTAATATAGATCAAAAGTTCAAAGTTACTCTAGCTAAATATATTATATCCAAGTAAGGACAGTTTTAATCTACATATACACATTTTGTAAAAGACGGAGTTTCTGGCCGTTTCTAGAAAACTTAGATATCGTTTAACTGCGTAGTGCTACTAGGAAAATAAATCCTTTAGAAATTTAAAATTACAGATCAAGGAACATAAAAACGCGGTAGTAAAATACAAAGTAAACGAATTGGTATTAGCAGAACATGTGGTGGTAACGTCTCATGTTATTGACTGGAATAACACTACGTTAATCTCAATAAATAGAGTTGTTTAAACATTTGTTTAACAACAAATACCTATAGAATGATACGTTTCTTTTTTGTGTGAGCGTAAAACACTTAAATACACCAGTTCGACTACGTTAAACTGTTAAGCCACTGTTGTGTTTCACAGAATTTAACATATTGATATAAGTGGTAATCAAACCCGTAGCTATA